GGAGCCTGAGGAGGGTGGGGTTTTGGGGGAACGAGGGACCTCAGCAAGGCATAATGCCATGGACTCCCCTTTCCAAAGCAGCCATTGACCTGATCTCTGTAGTTTGGGGCTCAGTTGTAATTCCAGGAGATCTTCAGACCCCACCTGTAGGTTGGCAAGCCTAAAAATTCATATTCAGCGTACTAGTTCTGCAGGAAAGCAAGCTGGTTTCCATAGCAACCTTTAGGAATTGATTCCAATCCAGTGTGGGAATAATTGTTGGACATAAGATATTGGTTCAGACAAGATTTTGTATAGAGGGGACAGAAAATGATGTTTGTATTGGTTTTGTCAAAACCGTTTTGACAACAAACAAGGTAAACAGAATAAGAACCAAAAGGTGGCTGTGGCTGGATGACCACACTTCTGGTAACATGGGGGAGTGGCCTAATATGCTAATGAGCTGTGCTGTCAGGGGTGTGGCCTATTATGCTAGTGAGTTCCTGCTGGGCTTTTTCTACAAAAAGAGCCCTCACCTGTGGAATGCATTCTATTTGGACTTCAATTAAAGTGGTTTTAAACCGCTTCCGAACATCCTCTAGGGATTTGACTCTCTTGTGTTTTCCCTTCACCTTCTTTTTTACTACTCCCCTCTTTTTTTTTAAAGTTCCCTCTTCTGAAATCAAATACAGGCTTTGGTAATCTGACCCAGATGTTGTTGGAAGTTCCAGGTGTGATGTCCCCTGCCTCAGACCTCCAGACTGAGTGGCAAGAGAGGCTAGATAGCTAGATAGGCACACTGACCATTCTTCCTAGATCTGCTCTTCTGCCACTGTCCTCTTTGATATGCAGATTGTAATCTCAGGGACCAATTTCCCTTTCCTGCATCTCTCTCACTCTGAATGAAGTCTTGCTTTCTACCAGCACGCACCAAGAAAGGGACATGCAGTCCTCTCTTGGCACCATGAGGCAGGTGGGCCTCTCGCCATCCGCCTCCATCCTTTAGCCAGTAAGTTAGTAATAAAGAGAGAAGTATTTCTCTTCTAACCTTGCAATGTGGATCTGTGTAGCTTTGTAAGCTGAGTAACCTGGTAGAGTGACGCTCCTGCATTTGTAGCTTTATTTAAGCACTCTGCTAACTAATGGTGACTGGACTAACCAAACCAGTTAACTACCTCTCTGTCAAGCAGGCAACTTGAATTGGCCGTTGGAGTTTAACTCCTGAGCATTCCTGGGGTGTGAAACCCAATGTTCACGTTGCAAAGCATAAAGTTCTTACGGAGATACTTGAGTGAAGAGTCATACCGTTGCAAGAATCAAAAGGCGTTGTGTGTGATGTAATGACATTCAACAGGTACAGATGCTCCAGGCATAGAGGCAGAAATAAGAAAGGCTGCACTTGTTGAAGTTTTGCCTGTTGGGCAGGTGTTAAAAAACCAAAAAAGCCCTATCAAAGAAAAATGATGAGACTTTTAACAACTGATCAGGTGTGTGGCCTACAGGATGCCTTTAACAGCAACTTTCAATGCAGGAATCAGCAGGCAAAGCTTCCCAGAGCATAGCAAATAAATGGCAGCTCTTGTTAATGACCACAAGTCAACTCTCAGTTCGTCACCGGAGCAGAGGCCAGATTTTAAAAGTTGGCAACTTTTAGTTTCAAGGGGAGGAGGAACAGGCACAGAGTTCCAGAAAGCACGACTCATCATGAAAATGTAAGCCTGAGGCATTAACTGCAGGTGTTCATTCAGACACACTGTTTAAAACATACTAACAGCCCTGCTGGGTCAGATGCAGGGCCAGCCAGATGCCTGTGAGAGGCCAAATGCAGGGCAGGAACACAAACCCACGCGCACACCCCATCCAGACATAAGAATGCCTCTAAGCATGAAAGCTAAACTCTGCCCTCACAAATTGTTGTTGTTCTTCAGTCGCACAGTTGAGTCCGACTCTTTGCAACCCCATGGACCACATCACGCCAGGCCCCCCCATCCTCCACCACCCTCTGGAGTCCATTCAACTCCATGCCTGTTGCATCAATACCTCGGTCTAGCCATCTCATCTTTGCCCTCACAAATAAGAGGTGTCAACTTCATTTCTAAAATATGCTATCTATATCCTCTGGGCATCATTTCTGAAACCAGACCCACCCTATTCAAATGTTCAATGTCCACAAGCTTCAATCAAGTATTAATCTAGGGCTCCTACCTTTTGCTCCCTGTGAGAACAAGGACATGCTTTGTCAGAAGGCCAGAGGTTCTCCTACCCCTAGCACCTTCCCAAGGACGACTGGATTCCCCTGTCCCCAACCCTGGGACTCCCTGGAACAAATCCCTTTCTGATAGTTGGATTGGGACAGTAGAACACACCAATAAAAGCAGCATGCTTTATAGGAAGAGCTTTAAAAAGTGGCTCAGGCCAAGCTCTCATGGGTACTTTAGCAGAGCTACCAAGGAACCATCGCCTAGGAATGCCGACTGAGGAAACCTCAGCCATTTATTCCAGGCCATTAACCTAACAATGGAATGGTAGTCAGCCAGCAATAATATTATTCCTCCCTAAAAATAGTCTGGTCCCCAGAATTCTCCCTGCTTCTCTCACTGTTTGCAAACACAGGTTAGGTTTTCCACAAAAGTAGAGTCTCCATCAAGAGTTTTTAATATCCGTTTTCAATTTTTAAAATTATTTTCCCGCTGGCACTACACATCGGAGCGCTTGCACCGTACCAAGGCTACTTACTCCCCTATGTGCTGGAAGAACTGTGGGGACATGGGTGACTATTTACACTGTTGGTGGAGTTGTCCTCTTATACAGAAATTCTGGGAGGAAGTGACTGACGAAATAACCAACATTACGTCACCCGAACCGGAAACTGTCCTTCTACATGATCTGAGAGACCCATCGGCTGGGGAAGAGACCCTCTCAAGCTTAATGACAGTCTTACTTGCAGCAGCTAAGCTCACTATTGCCACAATTTGAAAGTCAACTAAATCCCCAAAGCTGGAAGCAGGGAGGAATAAAATCTGGGAACAATTCATTATGGACAAAATCAGTACTACACTGGTTACAGGTCAGTCGGGGTCACACAAGACACATTCCAACTTTGTACAGACATGGCTCCCCTTCCTTCAATACATGTCAAACCAGGGGTCATTTCCTGCAGGAGCGCACAGGAGCGGAGCTCTGGCAGTAAAGAGCCCAGGGGGCGGGCACATACAACAAGCCCCACCCCCTGCTCCCAGCAGCCCTCAGTCAGAACAAGAAGCAGCCAGGTAAGTTGCAGAGCCCCCCTCCCCCCGCTCCCCGGTCCAAAACAGTCCAGTGGCACCTTTAAGACCAAGTTTTTTTCAGGTACAAGCTCTCCCTCCTCCGCGAGGACAGATTTGCACGTTCCCCCCCTCCCAATGGCTAGCAATCCAAAACAGTTCAGTGGAGCCTGAGCAGTGGGTGTTGCCGTCTGACACACTTCTGGTGATGTCAGGGGGTGTGGCATATGCAAATAAGTTATGCTAATGAGTTATGCTAATGAGCTCCTGCACCTCTTTTTCTATGAAATGACCCTTGTGTCAAACAATGATCTTTTACCACATAACTCATGCTACACTTCCTGGTTTCACTTTTAACAGCACGCTTCTTGAGACCTCAGTTGTTACACAGCATAGATTGGTTCAATACCCTCTTGTATGGACTGAAAGGCTGAGTGACCCCTAGGAAATGAGGTTCAATAGGCTCAATATGTTCTTAATCTTCTTCATTATTGGTAAACAGGAATGTTTTTAACACATTGGAAGTTGATTCACAGTTTATACTTAGCAGGATTTCCCTCCTGTTCTTATGCACTGTTATGTAATGTTCGCTTTATTTGTTAATCTATAAAATACAAATAAAATTAAAGAAAAAAAAGTAGAGTCTCCAAATACAGACGGTACTCTGAGTCCTGGCCCATCTTAGCATCCACAACCCTTTGTAAAATAATTTATTTCTAGTTCCCCCCAAAATCTCTACGCCCCCCGCTTAACAAAGAGGTTTTATCAAGCCAGTCAGTTTCCAACCCTCAAAACAAGGTCTTAAGCCTGAGTAGAATGTATTTTATGGGGAAATTCCTGCTTCTGCTGCTTGCAAAAAGATGAGGCCGAGGCACATTTCCATGAACAGCCAACTGACAACCCATAGATCTGATTTGGGACTCAAAGGAATCTTACCCAAGCAGCACAACGGCCAAAAATCCATCAAGTAAAAGAGTAAAAAGAGTTCTATAGTGCCACTTCTAAGCGAAATAACTCTTCCTGAAAGTCATGTATTCCACACTTGTTTTATATGGAAATGTTCTGTCTAAGACCCCCTTGAACAGGCAATGAGACCTAGTTCATATTTCACAGAAAGGGCGTTGCAATGCTTTGCCAGCACTTTGGAAAGGCGAAGACCTGCTCGTTTAGGAAAAAACCGTGTACTTTACATCTCCTTCCCCTTCAGTGACCAGGCCAGGCACGTGTGAACATTCCATACCTGCCTCTGCCTAGTGGCAAGTAGAAGCAACACAACGCTCTGGGAGAATGTTGGGTGAAGCAGAAGAACAGGTTTGGAATCTGTCCTTGATCATCACGGTGCATATGACAGACAGTAGCACCTGATCAGGTGGAGGAGCTGGCCGGCCCCACAACTGGAAGACCTCTGCCCAAACAGGATTTAGCCCCCAAGCACCTTTTTCTTGCTCACAACTTTCCCGGGGCCTTGGACCTTTGACTTTTACAAGTGCTCTGGGCTGCTGATTGAATTTATGAGGTCCCGCTCGTTATAGGCTCTTTCCGCATTTGCCTGCCACTCTGGATTCTCTGAGTTTTCAAGTTGAGGCAATTTAAGTCCAAGACAAAACAAAACCTAACTAACCCTGGAGCAACAGCAGGCTGAAACTGGGCTAACCACTGAAGGGAGGTAGTGTAATGCAGAATACGGGGGAAAAACAGGGGGGGGAGTTGTTGATTTTAGTGCAGAATGGGGGGGGGAACATGGATTAAAAAGAAAGTTGAACTCGATTTTAGTGCAGAATTCCTTGGAGGACACTGCGATTAACATGGACTAAAAGGAGAGCGCAGAAAGGGCCGTAGTGCGGTTTCACTTCATTTTATTACCAAGCTGCCTTCGTCATTGTTTGAGAAGACAAAGGCAGGATATAAGCTATCAGAATAAAAAAAAACAGAGGCAACAAAACAACTGTGTGCGTTTTACCTTTTCTCCTAGCACCCCCACTCCTCATATATCAAATCAATAATATCTGCAAGATTTTGGAATCTGATTTTTTTTAATTAGAATTATCACAGCAAAAAAAAAAAAGTGAATCTGTCCTGTAACCACTTCCCTCCAAAGGGGGGTGGGAAGAAAGAGAGAAAAATCCTCGTCCTGCTTCTTGCAATAAAAACAATGAGCTTATGGCGGCACACAGACTGAGCTGTGAGAGACTGGATATAAAATACGTCACCGTGTAAGGAAGAGGGAGAACATTCTGGAATCCACATCACACCCTGCACGGTGAACATTTGGGTGTTGTGGCAGTCTCCTCTCCTCAAGCAGAGGGTGTTTCAGTACTGTGCACAACATGACAAGTCATCTCCCCCGAAGACTGTTGCGTAAATTTTGGTTCCTCAGCTAGGATGCCATAGAAGAAGTCCTCACCACAGAATTATGGAGCAAGAGGGGAATTTGTGGCACCACATGTTCAATACAAGTCTTTCCTTTCAGTTCCAAAAAGAGCCCATGAGGACACACAATGGTACAAGCATTCCCTCACCCAAAGTTTTTGTATCCCTCAGCAGAGAGGAACAACACTTAGGCCAAGCAAGGGCCTGGAAGGAGCTGGCAGTGTATACAGGGGCCACTGATTTCGGTCTCCTCAAGGGCCATTTTGTGGCTTTAAATAAGCCCATTTAAGGGCAGGGAGATAATAGATTTGTCCACAGACACTCCCAGTAACCCGGACTGCAAACCACAGAGCATGCCCAAGGAGAGGCCTAGAACAACTAGCAAGTGTCGATGGCCCTATCAGGAGCCGCAGAGGAAACAGGTGCCTCCAAGTGTCCAGGAGAGTAGCTTTCTCAGAAATCCACGGGAGAACAAGAATTCATGCTGAACTGATTTGGGCGGCTGAGAGGGGCTCAGCCTGTCAAGAGAAGGCTTTCTAGATGCGAAAACTCTCCTCTTTGCCGTCGATGTGTCTGAGGCGAAGGTAGACGTCTGTGCCAATGCTCTGCAGGGACTGGAGAGTCAGCGAGCCACCCAGGTATTCAGCGTAGGCACGAGAGGTCGGCAGCCCAAAGCCAAACCTGTGAGAGAAAAAAGGATGGATGGGAATGTGTCGCTTGGCGGGAAGTAGCACAGGGAGTGACTGTTTCGGAGGCAAGTACGTTTGAGAGGGTACACAAATGGTTCTAACATGGCCACAAATCTGCAGTGATAAAGCTCGCAAATTGCTGGTGTAATGCAAATCAGACACCATTTTCTGTTTGCTTGCTGAGGTTACTTGACCAAACTTTAGTCAGAGGCTTCTAGGCCTGTTTAGGCCAGGAATGCTTGTTAGAAGATGCTGGTGTAAATCTAATGAGGCACCTGAGAGTCACCCTAGAGACAGAGCTGACCCTGATAAGAAGGAGAGTTATGTTCTTGACTCCCAGCTGCTAGCACTTAGTGTGCTGGCCTGTGGGGCCATTAATTAATTAACACATTCCCAAGTGAATGCACCTGTGTGTGGGGGGGAATCGGACCATCTTCAGAATTTTAGGTTTCGATTCCCTAGAGCTCACAAACAAGTATTATGGGATAGCTTTGGTCACCTTAGTTACAGCAAGAGTGACATCACTTTGCAAGACTGTGAATGGTTAACAGGCCTGAATCATTCATAGTCTTTTGGCTATAAGAACTTTGGTTCTTAGTGACCATGTAGGATTCTTTTGGGGTCTTGGCCAAGCCAGGTTAAGACTCCTAAGCAACCCTCACTATGCCTTGAATACTTGTGATTCCATCCTGATGGGGATTGCACTCTGTGTCTCAGGACTTTTTTGCACTTCTGAACCTGATGCGGGTAAACTGCTTGTATATTGCTTGTAAGTATTTAGCTATGCTGGAAAAGCCTAGATTTATTGTTTTGTCCTTTCACTGCCTAAAGTCTCGTGTTTTATAACTTTGCACAATTTACTTAAATAAAGAAACTTATATTTTTACTTGGTTTGGGTTATTGGCTCCACGAACTTCAAAGTCTAAGTCTTGCGTCTTGGGCTGCAAGGTCCTACTACTACCAATTGTGTCTCTTTGCTCAAGCCTGTGGTGGAGACTGCAGACTTGTTCTTTGAGTTGTGTTCCTGTGTCAAGCCTGGAGATTTTGGTAACTTTGCTCCAGCCCTGTTGGGAACTCTTAAAAGTTATCTGGTGGCAGACTAACTTGGTTAATTACTTGTGCTAGCTGTTCCTTGAACCCCAGACTGTGGCCCTGGAGAGGACCGAGTCTGTTACAGTTGGGTTTTATCCCACAGATCTCTGTGGGGCTGAATGGGGGGGTGGGGCACCGGCACTTGAGGAAAGCTTTAAAAACTGATTGGTAAAGCTTAAATGATCAGGAAAGCTTTAAAAATGCAGTAAGGGCAAGGTGACCCATGGTACTTTTAAGAGTAGCCGTCTGGCAATAGACAGAGAATAGAAAGTTCAATTTTCAGCATGGCAAATATTTCATTTTTTGTCTGGTGCCCTTCTAGTCTTTCAGACTGCAGTTATTAATTCAAAAGGGCAAGGGGCAGATGCCTGGCGATGTCTCAAAACAGCACATATGATGAGCAATGCTCCCTCTAAGCTGTGGAGTCTTGTGAGCAAAAATTCTAGAAAGCAAAAATTCATAGAAAGCTACTGGCACAGAAAGCTACTGGCATTAAAGTTGTGAGCGAGTAACTTAGCTACTGCATAAATTAGTTTGCTCCGGAGCCATCCGTCCTGAGCAAAGACAACAATCTGTGAGCTGGAGGCTAAAAAACTGTGAGCTAGCTCACACTAACTCAGCTTAGAGGGAACACTGATGATGAGGCGACAGCAATAGAGGTTCATCAGCCTCTCTTTAGCGCTCCTTCTGACAGGAGATGGGGTGGGTGTAGAAGGGGGAGGAGCCCTGGCTCAGGGGTACAGCATCTGCTTGGCCGGCCGAAGGTCCTGGTTTCAATCTCTAGCGTCTCCAGTTAAGACAACCAGGTGGCAGACCTCTGACCTCTGCCTGAGACCCTAGAGAGCTGCTGCCAGTCTGAGTGGAGAACGCAGACCCTGATGAGCCGTGCTTCCATGTGTTTTGTTCACAAAAGGTGTATTTTGTGCAGTGGCTGCTGGGAAATTTCCCCTCTCTGTACCACGTCCTTACCCATGCATGGGCCCTGATTGGCCGCTGTTCCCCATTTCCACCATGGTGCCAAACACGGTATTAATGCGGGGATCTTGGGCACTCGCTTCAGCTGTGGTGAAGTGATAATCGGTCACCTTGTCTACGTGGTCATGAGGGATCCCGGCACCTCGGTCTGAAATCCTGCCGGAAGGAAAAAGGGGTCATGATGTTCGAAGCCGTGGATCATCGTTTACAGTATTTCTTCCCTTCTCGTCTCCCACCTGCCACAATACCACCAAGGTATCCTGGATCAAGCCAAAATAACCATCTAGTCCAGCATCCCATTTCCTCTAGCGACCAACCAGATGACTTCAGGCTGGGCATTCAGGAAATCCTACTGTTGTATCCCCAGCAACTAGCATTCAGAGGTTCAGTGTCCGTGGACCCTGAGGTTCTATTCGGACAGCATGGCTCGTAGCTGGGGACAGACCTTTCTGCCACAATACTTTAAAAATCATTTAAACTGACATCACCGCATCTTGCAACAGCAAATACTAAGAATTGGAATATGTTCCAAAAAGAAGTGCTGCATTTTTATTTGTCTTGAATCTACCTACTACTTATCAGTTTCACAGGATGACCCTGAGTTAAGAAGGTAAGAGAAGCCAATGTTGGATCAGGCCAATGGCCCATCCAATCCAACACTCTGTCACACTGTGGCCAAAAATATCAGGTGCCGTCAGGAGGTCCACCAATTTGGCCAAGACACTAGAAGCCCTCCCACTGTTGCCCCCCCCCCCCAGGCACCAAGAATACGGAGCATCACTTGGCCCAGACTGAGAGTTCCTATCTATACTTTGTGGCTAACAGCCACCAATGGACTTCTGCTCCAAATGTTTATCTAATTCCCTCTTGAATGTTCTAGTATTATGGAAGAGGAAGAAAAAGGCTCTGTGTCCAGTCCCTTCACACAATGTGTATTGCTGTAGGACTGTATCATGCTCCACCAATATCATTGTTTGAAATTAAAAATACTCTTCTTTTTACGGCGTCTCTCACCATAGGGAAGGTACTCTCACTTCTCAACCACTTTGGTTGCCCTTCCTCTGAATTATTCCCAGATCTACAATCAATCTCTCTTTCCCCCCTCCCCCCCTTAAACAAACCAACGTTCTAACAAGTGAATAAGCAAGAACACGGCAAATGAGATTCAGCCATACACTTCTCCACTCAGGGGAAGGAATCTTCGGTAGCCCACCCCCAAATTAGGACCTTGTGGATTCAGAAATGCCTAGGAAATCTGGTCCCTACTGTCAAATTGCCTGGAACTACAAAACATTACATAGAGTTGGAGGGAAAAAATCCAGGTGAGAGGCAGAAATCATTACAATCAGCCACAGTGGTGGCCTCTGGGGGTGGGTGGGAAGTGTTATCTGTGCTGGAAGAGGTCCCATCCAAACTGCACCTTATGATCAAGTCAATGTCATTGTTGGCAATGGTGATGACGATGTCTGGCACATTGTAGGGCGTGTCCAGGTGAGACTCCATGGTGGCCCTGAAAGAACAGCCAAAATTTAAACCTTCACCCACACGCAACAGCAGCCCAGCACCACTCTCTGCCTTCCTCTTTCACAACCCAGAACGAAGACTTGCCGTCTGTTCCTCCGCCGTCGGAGTTCCTGCATCAAAGACTTTGGCAGGTTATTTCTGATCAGCACGAAAACTTCAGCCTCTTATCTCCACAGCTCCAGGCCATCTGTCCCTCTCTCCCCCTCTCTGCCTATTTTTCCGAACCTTGCTTTTCTGCTCTTCTTCATACAGCTCTTTCCTGGGTCCTGCCTGACTCTGTTTCTCTGTTGTCTTTCCTGCCTGCCCTGCACCCACCTGGGTCCAAACACCTCAGTCAACAGCAGTGCAAGGCCCAAGAAGACAGTTCAGATTTTCATCACCACCACCATGGATAGTGTCATCACTGTACTGGAATAACCATCTCAATTTTGCAGACGTGACAGGGCACCTAACTTGTTTAAATACGGCAGTTCTTTAACCACCTCATGCCCAGTGAATTTCCACAACAGGCAATGCCCAAGAGTAGAACACTTGGCACCAAATTGTCCTTCTGATCCACTCGTTTTTAGCTTTCTCAAAACTAGAGATGTAAAATTTCCGGAAATTTTGAAGCTCGGAAAAAAACCCGTTTTCCCCCCAGTTTTTTTCGGGGGGAAACGGAAATTTGTGGAAAAATTGAAAAAAATGCTACATTAGCATTTCTTTTGTCTTTTCTAGATTGAAAGTCATTCTGTTACTTTAGGAACATAAAATATGACTATGGACATTTTTACTTGGCATGAAATTATCACAACTAGCATATTAAAAATATAGTGTATCCAAACAATTATTACAAACAGAATACCCACCCACATGCAAAAACAAAACTGAAACCTTTTTATTTTCTTCTGACAATAGCACCTCCTAAAGGAAGAAATGCATCTTGTTCTTGCATCGGAGAGTTCAGTTTGTAACCTAGGACTTGCTTGTCCTCAGTACACAGAAATTAGATCAATCTGATACCATCTATATATTTTTTTAGAAATGATTTGGAAAATATTTGAACATCTTGTCTTAAAATATTTTATTCATCATGTTAAAATAAAACGTTCCATAATCAATTTTTTTCCTTTTCTTTTCTTTTTTCAATTTTTCCAATTTTTCGTAAAAAAACAAAAAAGGCTTCAGGGAAAAAAACGGGGAGGAAAACGGTTTTTCCCCAAAATTTTCCGTTTTTTTTCCGGGCCTTCACATCTCTACTCAAAACGCCACACTTTTTAAAGGGAAGGTTCCACATACACTATTTTCCGCACAGAGGCGGGGCTGGATTTCACATGCCAGCTGGCAAAGAGCAGGGACTGGTCCAAGGGCTTCCTGTGCCCCAGGCAGAGCAGCCAAAAAGCTCCCTTCCTGCCAGGTAGCGAGGGACTCACTTACTGCCAAAGTGGCAGTAGAAAGTAGGGGGGGAGGTATGGTGTCAGAACCCAGAAGTGAAACCACTTCCAGGTGACGCTATAGGAATCTCCAACATTTTTATGGTAAAGACCATAGAGGTTTTGGGGATACCTAGAGTGTCGCCAGAAGTGGTGTCACTTCTGGATTCGGATAAAATTCTCCCTCCCCACTTTCTTCTGCTGCATCAGCAAGCAAGTGAGGCCAGTGCTGGCTGGTGGCCGGCCAGGGTGGCCTCGTCCTGGCCCCACTGGTGGACCTCCTGATGGCACCTGGTATTTCTGGCCACTGTGTGATACAGAGTGTTGGACTGGATGGGCCTTTGGCCTGATCCAACATTGGCATCTCTTATGTTCTTATGTTCTGGAGCCACTGGCAGCAGCACAGGCAACAGTGCAGGGCAGCCTAGCAGATGGGCTGCCTCTGCAAAAAGGGAGCGGGGGGGAGAGAAAGTGTGCTCACCGCATAGCATTCTTGAGCAGCTCTGGAAGGATGTAGTCCAGAGGCATGGGGATGAAAGGGAAGCGGGCGGCCACGTGTCCATTGATCCGCACCCGTGGAGCGTTCCCGTACTTGTGCTCACACAGGCGCCTGAAGGAAACACGAAAACGAGATCAGCAAAGAAGCAACTCACTTCAGATGTCTCTCTCTCGGTCACACATACTTCCTCCGGAATAAACAGCAGGTCCAATCCAGTCTCCCCAATCCATACTTTCACTTGGTTTTGCCCAAGCGGTGCACATAACCTGGATCTCGCAAACGGCATGAAAACAGTATACAGGGAACTTGGAGCAGTTCCCTTACCTAAGAGAACGTCATCCATATCTGTAAGCGTCACCTAAACCCAGACTTACAGCTGTCTAGGGAAAAGAGAGCTTCTGATCTGGGAAGCCACATTTTACCACGAACACTTCTGAACTGCACCAGTGCTGGGGGTAACTGCTTTCTCCCAGACTTTATCCAGGTGACCATTTGCATTCCACAGTTTTTAACTAAATGTTTTGCTTAACAGTTAAAATAAAGATTGGCCAGACATCGTGCCTTAGTGTCATGTGCCTAATTGACTCGCCCACAAAACAGCAGCCACAAACACAGACAAAACATCTACGCGGCTGCTCAGGCAAAGGCAGCAGAATGCAAAAGGTGGCATGGCATCATGCGGCCACAGGGGGGAAGCAAGACATCTGACCGAACAAATTCCTTCAAAAAAGCAACAGTAGTACCTGGCAAAATCGACCCATTTCTCAATTATTTTCTTCGGGGACAGCCGGGTGCATATAATCCCAACAAAGTCTGGCTGCAGGAAAACATAAAGAAAATTTAAAATGTCAGAGTTCAAGACTAGAACAATGAAGACCCCAACAACTGCTTTTTCCGAGCCTGATAACAGATTGGCAAACTCACCTCCACAATTCCATTCTGTACATATAGCCCCATGAGACAAGAAAGAAAAAGGTCTGGTTTTATTTCAGAAACCATATAAAGATACTTTGTTGTGGTTAATCGGCTTGCACTGTGCCAAGGTGCTCCACCAGTAAGGGCAACGTGTTACCCCGGTTGAGGGACTGAACACCTGCATCCTCTCACACCTGCAGCCATACAAACTGAGGGGGTGTTCTCAGCCTCTCCCCAACAAGGCCAGTCTTCTAGTTTCTCCCCAGTCTTCCAGCTTTCCCCCTCTCCCTTCACACAGTTACCATCATTCTTTCCTTAGGTGCAACCTTTTCCTTCTTCATTCCTTTGAACCATTTTGGTCCCTCTCCTCCTTTTCTCTGTTCAACGCGGACATTTTTATTCTTCATTCTTCTCTGCCAATTACTGCCTGTCATTGCTTATCAATGCGATTTCCCCACCCCCACCCATTTTCAGTCTCAAACATCAGCCTGTGTGTTTCCTTTGTCCTGACCTGAATACCCCAGGCTAGCCTGATCTCTTCAGATCTCGGAAGCTAAGCAGGGTCGGCCCTGGCTTGTATTTGGACGGGAGACCTCCAAAGAATACCAGGGTCGTGACGCAGAGGAAGGCAATGGCAAACCGCCTCTGAGATGTCTCTTGCCTTAAAAACAAGTCTAGCTTGCAGCCTAGTGGTGCATAACACTAAAAGAGCTGGAACTTCTGGCTGCCAGACAATCTTAGGATCTCCTGGCTATACTACACACAAATGCCGTATGATAATCATAATAATCTCTTTCATCTCTCAGAGCCTCCCTCAGCTCAGGCCAACTGCCACATTCAGCGTTCGCCCAACTGCCACCCTCTCCCCTCCCCCATCCACCAGACTGTCAAGACTTTTCAGGGCTTCAAGGATCCTGTTCAGGCTTTGCTTACGCAGAACCCTCCTCAGGGAGATTTTTATTTCTTCCATTGTACAAAACAAGCCTGCACAGCTGGGGAACCCTTTTGAGTATACAAAAACTCCCCTCCCCCCCGTCTCAGGGTAGCCTTATTTCCCAGCCCATGGGCTGGCATGGGGTCACCAGCATTTATCAAAGGGGATTATGCTATTTTGTTTTTTAAAATTTAAGTATATATATACTTTCACTCATTGTGTGTGTTTATGGGCACAATATATTTATGCATAAAAAACAGAAAAAAACACTTGATACGCAGCTGATGTAGAATACACGTAAAATCTACACCAAAACGGGTGTAAAGCAGAACTATTCATAAAAAGCAAATAAAAACGGCACCTTGTCCTCATGCAACGCGAGGTGGTGAGTGGCCAACATCCGGATGCCCAGGCGGGAAGTGAGCGTCTTGTCCAGGAAAGAGCGGATCAGCTTTTCATCCTGGGATGGGGACAGGAAAGTCAACATGTTTCAGAGCAAAACCACCAGGCTCCATAAGCACTGGCCATTGTCTCCTCAGAGTGCTATTCCTGCTTCCCTTCCCTGCTTCTCTGTGGGATGTTTTAGAAGCTGTCATGCCAGGGGAAACAGACAGGCCCGTCGTTTTGTGCCCCCACCCACTTCAGGTTAAAGGCAAGTCTGAACCCAGAACCTGTGGCAGAGCTGAGGAAACTTCTGCTTCCCTTCCCTGCTTCTCTGTGGGATGTTTTAGAAGCTGTCATGCCAGGGGAAACAGACAGGCCCGTCGTTTTGTGCCCCCACCCACTTCAGGTTAAAGGCAAGTCTGAACCCAGAACCTGTGGCAAAGCTGAGGAAACTTCCCAGGAGTCCTGACTCGCAGTGTTCCCTCTGAGCTGAGTTAGTGTGAGCTAGCTCATAGTTGTTTAGCCCCCAGCTCACAGCTTTTTGTCTCAGCTCAGGAAGGAGGGCTCCAGAGCAAACTAATCTATGCAGCAGCCAAATCGCTCGCTCACAACTTTAAGGCCAGTGGCTTGCCAAGTTGGATTTTTGCTCACGAGACTCCACAGCTTAGAGGGAGCATTGGTCCTGAGAACCCGCAGCCTTCCCGGCACCAGCCCCTCCTAGTCTCCTGCTTGGCCTCTTCCTTTCAAGCCCACAGTGGGTCTTCATCCCCGTATCAGAGGCTTCCTAGAGCAGTGAAGTCCCCTCCCCCCGATCCACCCAACAGGGCTGGGGAAGTCCAGGTCAGAGTTACCTGGATGTGCTTGCGACACTCCCGCAAGCCCTCGGCCAGCAGCGTCACCACGTCCTTGTGGTCGTCAAGAAGCTGCCGGACCAGTTTGCAATACTGGGCCTCGGACTCGTTGTCTGCGATCTGTCAGAGGAGAAGGCGGGGAGAGACAGCGGCAAGCAGGGAAGAAAACGTGCATTCAGACGAAAGAGGATGACGCTGTTCCATCCCACTTAGTCCAGAACTAACAAGCCCCTCGAAAGACAACAGTCCCACTTCCAACATCTGTTTTTATTAGCTTGTCATTGTTATTGGCGTGCTTCACTGTTTCAGTCCTGGGCTGCCTCCAGCAGCCGGGACACCAGTTTTCTAAATAAATAGAAGCACCCAGTGGCACGACACTGCTACCCCAGGCTGGAAACAGCACTGTACTAACAGCAGTTGATGGCAGTCGTGGAACAGCAGTATAAAACACACACGAGAAAGAAACATTTACAGAATCTGCATTGCAATTTGCTATCACACCCGCAGACTCCGCTTTAAAAAATAAAATCTGGTAGTGCAGTTACATTTTGGCGATCCTATATTATTTATTTCTTTGCAACATCTGCACGCGGCCTTTCTTCATTTTATTGGATTTATTTGTACCCCGTCTTCCTACCCAAAGGGGCTTCCATCGTTCCCTTCTCCTCCGTTTCATCCTTGCAACAACCCTGTGAGGTAGGTCAGGCTGAAAGAGCGTGACTGGCCCAAAGTCACCCAGTGGGCTTCCATGGTGCAAGCGGGGATTAGAACCCAGGTTGACCAGAACCTAGTCCGACACTTAACCACAACCCCACACTGACTCTTGGCTTTCTTCCCAATCAAAGCCACCAAGGCAGCTTTAAAAGGTAAAGGTTCCCTTGCTCGAAAGCCAGTCGAGTCCAACTCTAGGGTTGCGGTGCTCATCTCCGTTTCAAAGCCGAAGAGCCAGCGCTGTCCGAAGACGTTTCCGTGATCATGTGGCCGGCATGACTAAACACCAAGGCGCATGGAACGCTGTTACCTTCCCACCGAAGTGGTACCTATTTATCTCCTTGCAATTTCTTGCTTTCGAACTGCTAGGTTGGCAGGAGCTGGAACTAGAGATGGGAGCTCACTCCATCATGCGGCACCTGGGTCTCGAACTGCTGAACTACTGACCTTCCACAGCCTGCAGTTCAGTGTCTTAACCACTTGAGCCACCGCAGCTCCATAAGGCAGCTTTACAAGCATAATAAAAACACACCTGAAAAATGACTGAAACTAAAAAACCCAAGTAAACACACACAAAACAATTGGGCAGGACTCTTGAGATGTCTCTGCTTTTAGTGCTCTGTGACCCGACACATACTTACTGGGGGAAATTCACTCAGTTTCTGGAAGGCTCGAATGTAAAGTTCATGCTGAAGAAATAAAGAGAGGACAGGAATGACTAAAGCGGACACACGGATGACAACAAATATTCAGTGCTAAAGAATCAACTTCTTGGATCCTCTTGCTAGCTTCTGGGAAGGTTGTGATAGCTAATGTTTTTTAAATGACAAGGAGGAGGAGGAGCCGGTAATCCTAACCAATTCGGGGGGAAAGAAGCGTACTCGATACTTCCACAGGACTTTGCCTGAAAGTACTCTGCACAGTTCTCTCCGTCATTCTCACTGTAAGGCCTCACTGTTTTTGCCACCCCTTAATTAAATCAAAACCGTATATCCTTAGCTTGTTATTTAGTTTTGTCTTCGCATATCTTAAAACATCTTCATCATGTGACATGCCAATTTGCCGCTCAGCCTGTCTATAAGTTTGAACTGTCACCTTCCATTCCAATGGATCTGAAAAAGTGTGCATGCACACAAAAGCTCATACCTTGAATAAACCTTCGTTGGTCTTAAAGGTGCCCCACTGGACTCAAGATTTGTTCTACTGCTTCAGTCCAACCCAGCCACCCACCTGGATCTGTAATTCTCACAGATCTACTCTGCAGGGTTGTCGTAAAGCATCATAATCTCAGATGGGGGTTCAAAGGCCAGCTTCCCCAAGGCCAGTAAAGCATCATAATCTCAGCTGGGGGTTCAAAGGCCAGCTTCCCCAAGGCCAATCAGCTGTGGCTGAACAGGAAACTGAACCAGCAACATCACAACTCACAGCCCACCTTTAACTATTACACAACAGTAGTTAGATCCACTGCATTACAGGGAATCGGACGACGGCTCCAGGGTTCTAATTCCCATTGGGGGGGGGGAGGAAAGGGGCAGCAGCGGGACTGATAAATTTGTGCTATGTGGAAAAAAGACCCACTCTTCTTGCTGACAAGGAGCACGGACTCAGCTCACTGCAAAAACAAACTGTGTGTTGTCAGGTGGGAGGCGGTGTTGGTCTGCAGTAGAAGCCCAACAACATTTCCACTAATATGAAAATTACAAGAGCAACGGCTTTTAAAGAAAATATTTATAAGGTGGTTCTGAGGTGGTACCTATATCCGGCTAGAGTGATACCTTGAATAAACCTTCGTTGGTCTTAAAGGTGCCCCACTGGACTCAAGATTTGTTCTACTGCTTCAGTCCAACCCAGCCACCCACCTGGATCTGTAATTCTCACAGATCTACTCTGCAGGGTTGTCGTAAAGCATCATAATCTCAGATGGGGGTTCAAAGGCCAGTTTCCCCAAGGCCAATCAGCTGTGGCTGAACAGGAAACTGAACCAGCAACATCACAACTCACAGCCCACCTTTAACTATTACACAACAGTAGTTAGATCCACTGCATTACAGGGAATCGGACGACGGCTCCAGGGTTCTAATTCCCATTGGGGGGGGGGAGGAAAGGGGCAGCAGCGGGACTGATAAATTTGTGCTATGTGGAAAAAAGACCCACTCTTCTTGCTGACAAGGAGCACGGACTCAGCTCACTGCAAAAACAAACTGTGTGTTGTCAGGTGGGAGGCGGTGTTGGTCTGCAGTAGAAGCCAAACAACATTTCCACGGTATGAGGTTCTGAGTTAAAAAACTCCCTTTGTCTGTTGCATCACTATGTCTTGTGGACCCCCTGGCTGTTCCCTGCACTTGTTCCAACACCATCCCTAGATTACTGTTCATCCCTTTGGCCGCTGCTCTTCCAGCCCACGTCTCATACGTACCACGTGGAGGATGGTGGGGTTACAGCCAATGATGAAGGGGAGTCTCCGAAAGCCTTTGATGCGGTGCGCGATGCGGACAGGCAGTTCATGATGCAGGTACCGGGCACTTTTCTGCAACACAGCATAAGCAGCTGATAGCTTTTTCTTCTCCGGATCATTTCCCCCTGGCTTTTTAACAGGACTGCACTGCAGCGGTTTGCTCAATGGTAGTGTTTTACCAAGGCATTTTGTTATCTTTGGCAGGTTCTGGAAATTAGCTTGGTTAATTGCACATCCTTGGAAGCTAAGAATCGGGGAGGGGGGGTTGGACTCTGCTCACAAGGTCATTGGGGGACGGGTGCAGTGGGCTAGATCAGGAAGGAGGGCAAGGGCCCCACTCATTTTTTACCCCCAGATCTTGACCGGAATCTCATTAAACCAGCCTTACAACCTTCCTGTAGGGCAAGGCCAATATTATCAGTGCCCTGCTTCAGATTGGGCAGGGAGGGATGCAGCTCATTTCCCCCGGATTGGTCAATAAATTCACAGCTGGGCTGACATTAGAACCGGTGGGGTACTGGTTAGGGGCACACTAGACCAGGCCTGGCAGACAGGCATTTATATGGTCATTTGCACAGAGCAAGAATGGCCTCCAGGCAAGCAGAAAGAAGGCGTTTTTGTAAATGGGGGGGAAAGTCTCTTATTCTGTCTTTTTGGATGGTCAGCATGCCACAAATGATTAACAGGAGCACGGGCAGGTGGGTTAGGAATGACTTTCATGAACTTTATCCTCAAGGCTGCGTTACACGAAAATGAACAACAGCCAGTTTGGGCAAGGAAGTATGCCGTGGCACCCCTAAAGAATCCCCCCCCAACTTCTCCAAGCACGCTGAGCTCACAGACACCGCTCTGGAGCTCCCCCGAGACATTTGGGGGAAGCAGAGTGCCCTTTCCAATATACGATTCTCCATGTGTATTCTGAGTCTTGCAAGAAAACTGCATTACATTAACACAATGTGTTTCTATGTTACGCATGCAAGAGAATCATGTGTGTGTTTTTCCTTAGACAATTACTTCACACTCAGAGAATTTCATGTTGGAATGCTGTTATCCCCCC